CCCCCCCCCCCCCCGCCCCGCCGCCTTGTAAAAAACGAATGTTCCCTAACCCATTAGCTTGGAGATGCTTTTACACATAGTTCTTAGCTTTTTCATTAATTTAAGCTTCTCCTTGTTACATATTTGTTTTTCTTTACAGGATATGGACATTGTTCTAATCATTGGAGGCAGGCACCTTGGCAAGTGGCTCTTGCTATTAATGCACCCTGTCCAGCCCTGTTTCATGACCTCAAGAAGCTGGATATTATCCAGCTTCCATGCAGGAGGTCCTTGGAGAGGGTAATGGCAAAGAGGACAGTAAAGGAGGGTATATGTGAAGAGAGAATCATCGAACAACTCACTTTGTTTAACCAATATAAAACCACTGCAGTCCTTAATGGGAGACCAGAGCCACTGGAAGTTGGAGAACTCCTTTTTGATGAGACAAAGCTGATTTAAAGTGTCCTGAATCTGTGCAGCTTGGTTGAAACTAGCAGCCATAATATAAATTAATTATTTTTTTTTACGGGGACTGGCATGTAGACCTTGGGGACTCAAGCATTTGCAAATGGCTGTTTCTAACGTTTTAATTTGTTTGGTCTTTGAGCGTTCGGTTCACGCAACTCACTAACATGTTAATCAAAACAAACTTAATACATTGAGGTGACGGCTTTCAGTCACTCAGACAAATCCAAAGCGGATGACAATGAGTGCATTAAAAACTAACCTCTAATGTGCATTTTCTGTGAATAGGCAAACAGGTATAAATTACAAAAACTGTTAATGTTATGCATGTTCTGATCACTATTTCATGGGTCAGATCAAGGCATATTCGTTATATGCTACTGGAAGTGTAATGCTTGTATACTGTTTACTTTACGTGTTTTATACGGACGGACAATCCCGGGCCTACCAAATGTTTTGGCTCAATGGGTTACAAAATTCCCTTCCTATGGGGCTCCATTCGCACGCCTTCGGTAAGCAGGACCTCTGCTCTAATTATGTCCCTAAATACGTCACTGCATTCCACAACCAAAATGATGACTTCAGGTCTTCAGGTCAGAAACATATGGGTTGTTGATCAAGCTTGTTAGGTCAAGATGGCTGGATATTGGCCAAGTTGTTTCTTTTTTTGCGTGTTTATGAAGCGAGACAGAATCGAGCTCCATAACCACGCAAAAGAGAAAGAGGCCAATATCCAGCCACGTTGGCCGAACAAGCTTGGTCAATAAAGGATTTATTATGTGGCTTACGGGGAAATGTTTCTTGCGGGACACAGCGGGTAATATAGCGTCACCTTGCCAGCTTGGGTAGCCAATCACAGCAAAGGATTTGCTCATGTTAGCTTGCCCGCTCACGGAGCTAGCCATATAATAAAACGACTTACATAGAAAACAACTTCAGGTTGATGTACATTAAGAAAGGGCTAAATTATTAGGCAGCCCAAAAAACGGAATTGAAAATCAAGTTTATTTATGTTTTTGAAAATATTTATTTGGCATGCCTTTGTAAGGCCGTACATATACATCTACTTGTACAGCTTTTTAGTGTCAACTTAACGACAACAACAACACAAACAGCCGCAGCAACTGCACTGACTGAAATGCTGAAATACAAAAATGTAATACAAAATATTTAAAAAAGAGTAACTGCAGCAAGGAACGGTGACAAAAAAAGTTAATGATTGTAATTCCTTATTCTAGAGAGAATTTCAGTCTTTATTTACAAAACACGAATAATTCCAATATCAAAAGTGGTTTGCGTGTGAATGAATTATTAATAGAAAATGCTTTGGCACAGCATGCCTCTCTGAAAAAGGAGGTTCTTTCAAACTTTATCCATTAAAACTAGAATTAGAATTGAAACGTTTTGAGATTTTCTGCAGGGGCGACAGCACAAAACTGCGTGCTCCATTTTTTTTTTTTTTTGTAAACCTGGCAAATACCAATCACTTGTGCAAGGATAGGTTTGGAGGGGAACAGTTTTCAATGGATCCGGTGCAAAACTTGCAAAATAGGCTCACAGACCAACCTGCTAGCTATAATGCTCCGGTCCTTTGCCAGCCCAAGTTAATGTTTGGACGTGCAAAACTCAGGTCCGGTTTGGAGACCGTTCAAACTGAACTGGTCCGTGCTACACCTACACCAATCCATTTTCAGACGGAACGTGCCAATTTTGGCAGCATCCACAAACATCACTCTAAAATGGATCTAGCCTGAAATTGTTTTATAAGTATTATTCTGAGCGTGATCACGAGGTAGACACATCTGATCTGCTCAGGTGGATCAAGAAGCACGCTGATCCAGTTCAACATAAAGAGAGTCTATGCTGATAAAAGAACATTCCCGTCTGAACAGACCTGATTCTCGGGTCTAGGACTGGTCCCATGTGAACTTAGCCTAGGAGTCTAAAGTGACTTATGTCTAATTTTGTGTCAAATAATAAAATTATACAACACCAAGCAAGTAGGTGAAAATGCTAAAGAAAATCATCGCCCAGGATATAGCGTTGATGTTGTACTAAATTCTGAGAACTAGTGTCCATAAAAACAGTAAGCAAAAATACTATCCACAAGACGATCATTCTTGACCGAGTTCATATTTTAAAGTAAATTGAAACATGAAAACCAGAACACAGCTTAAATATCATGAAATAATTGATGTACATACAGTTTAAATGGGGCCTTTGCAACACCGTGTCACGTGACCCTGTCAAACATAAAAAGAGGTCGTGGTACGAAATATCAGAAAGGGAAACACCATGATGAAATTAGTGATAATTCCAATTCTGAGGCACTGACGTTAAACCTGCTGCTGGACAGCAAGCAGAACTATCAAACTGTCCAATTGTCCTAAAATCTCCCACTAAAACGTCAAGGGCCTCAAATTAGAAATCTCACTAATTTCATTGCGCTCTTTCCACTTCTGGCATCTATGTCTTTCTAGGACCTTTTTTTCAATGATCGACAAGGTCGTGTGACACAGTCATACAAAGTCACTTTTAAATAAGACATGTTCACGTTGTAATTAAATATAACATGTATGGGCAGTTAACAGTAACTGCCTCGATCAATTCAGCTTCTAACAGAAAAGCCAATTTATTCCTTAACTCAACTAGCCTAAACCATTTTTTTGGCAACCTGCCTCGTTGCAATTATTTTTGTTTGTTTGTAACTTTGCTCTTTGTTTCAGCGTATTTTTCCTTTAAACCAGTTAAGTTAATCAGGGCTATAATAAACCTAGCTTAATTTTAATGGCAATCCTCCTAAGGAAAAAAAAAACAAGGTGGCGACTGGTTCATTAACCCATGCTTCTTAGTGCACGAAAACTTTAACAACGCTCATAAAAAAAAAAACTTAACAACCAATAATAATAATAATGCACAGAAACATTCTGAGAGCTTTAAACCTTACATACATAATGTCGTTAACACAAAGACAAATATTGCAAAAGTATGGCTATTTTTCCTTCTACTTTATGGGCTGTGTAAGGTTCCCATGGTATTGTGCTAAAATGTACAGTCGCCATCTTTTTTCCTGTGGAGGACTGCTTGACTCAGCACTCCTGCAGTGACGTCTATTGATAGGCGTCTTAATACATCTATCATGCTGTCCAATGTGACATCAAAGTTGAACTTCGTTCAAATTGAGCTGATCATAGTCTTTTGTAACTGATGGATCTACATAGTCATAATTAGCTGGCACAGGAGGCTGCAAAGAAAAGACAATGACATGTCAGTTTACTAACCTGAAGCTGACCCGTCGCTTCTCACAGCCAGAGACGTTAGAACCCGTAGCCCTTGTTAAAAAAATTCCCAGAACACTGGGCAGTCCTTGACCATTTCAAGAATTAGTACAGAAATATAATATAATTTCTCTGGAATACCTGGGGATAGTTGACAAGTTTGGAGCATTACTAAAGAACAAAGGTTCTGCACGTGGAATTGATAAGATGTTATGGAATCAGATAGCTGAAGTGAGAATATTCAGATATGCGACAAAACAACCGACGTTTCAGCATTACAGCCTTCTTCAGGGTTCTTACGGAAGTCAAAGCACCAAGGAACCTCACAGTCTCTATCTCCTCAGAGGCGCATCATCGTGGTGAAGGGGTGTTATCAGGTTGAATGTTGGGTGGAAAAACTCCAACAGTTACTGAAGCTAATAGGCGCACACGAAACTCCCGGGGACGGAGATGGTTACAGACAATAACACAGTAGCTACACAAACCTCCAGAAGGTCTGCACCTACCCCAATATCAACTGAGGAGTGCAAAGTATGATGCCCTCAAGGCCATTAGGTTATTGTCCCCTTAAGCAATGCATCCCTATATGGGCCTGGCATGTACCAAACTTTGTACCAATGTTAGGTTGATTTTAAAGGAATGTGGTTAACAAGCATCGAAATTTAGATTTCCCTCAGGGAAAAAAAAAGCCTTGCTACACATCCATGAAAACAGACTTACTTAGAAGTCTGTGTTAAGAGAGCTCAAATTTAAACGTTCGTGATGAATAAAGATTAATTGTAAATACATAAAGAAAAATTGCAGATCTACTTACCTGAAGTAAAATACGATCCCTCAAGGTTACTAAGTGGAATACCTCGTGTAATTGCCCTCGACGCCATTTTCTGGGGAGATAACAGATCAATTTTGAATGCCTTAATGCTTTGCCTTTATACATGTATCAGGGTACACCAGCTGAGAGGTACATTGTAACTATTAATTATATTACAAATGTGATTTAAAAGTGCAAGTACTCCTTTAACATTAAATCTACCATAGACAAAAATTGCCGTTGAAAATGAAATGTACTGGTTGCTGTGAGGAGTTTTAGTAGAGTTTTTAGCCGGCAGGAAATTGGCTTTTACAGGCTAAGCAAGCAAAACTTTTTGAACTGAAGTTCTATTTAAGGAAACAAACTTCTTTGAGATGATCAACCTATAGGCAGGCAAAGTCAAACTGACGCCACTCATGCCTGCTCCTGACGTGTTCGTATTGAAGAGCTTCCACTGTACGTGGTTAGCAACATTTAGTATGTACGATAGAGCGGACGGGTAAAAAATTCCAGGCTCAAAGGAAGGCTTTCAATCTAGCTAGCACACACTGGCTTCAACCTACGTCCATATATTCCTAAACTACGCAATTGCTGCAACTTAGATATTTTAACAGTCACATAATGTGATTTCCGAATGTATGCCACACCTCATATAATTATTCCCTAGCTACGCAATCGCTGCATGTTCTAGTTCAATTCGTGTTGGTTATGCTGCAGTATTAATGAAACAAGTATCAAGAAAGTCTTTTAGACTCAAAATGCTTTTAATTAATCACCAGTAATTATCCCAAGCTGTCTGTTTAACTTCTCACATGAAACTTAGCCTCTGCTGTTTCAGCTTATTCATCAGTGCAAGTAGCTCGAATTGCAAATGCTTTTGGATTTTCAAAGATGGTCGCTTTTAAGAGTTGCTATTGTGTTAGGGTGCTATTAAGCAATTAGATTATGAGCTCGAGATTTCTATCACTCATAGAACTCGAGAGTGAATAATCTAATTGTTTTCGTATAAATCTATTAGTCATTCAAAATGTTATCTAAATCATCTTCACAGACGCTTCGACAACGTAAAGAAGCGGCCGCCAGTTCGTTAACAAGCGCACACTGCTACACTACTCACTACCTACAATAGAGTAGATAGTGAGTAGCGTAGCCAATCAGGACGCAAGTAGATTTATACTAAAAAGCCATAGAACTACCAAGCAGTAATCTGACAAAACATCTCTTTACCTTATCAAGTATATAGCGAATAAAGCTGTTATGCATCCCACCACAACTGACAATGTGATCAAAGCGATTTGTTTGTTGCTCAGTTTTCCTCCATTCGTTGGTGTTGTTGAGTTATCTGCAAGTAAGAAACAGAACAGCTGCATGCTCAGCAGGAATTATTTCTTGTCGAGAATTCTTTCAAAAATAAATGGCAAACAAGGAAAACACAGCACACCCTGACTCAGAGACCATTAAAAATCATATAATTAAACAAACGCAAAATAATCCCCTCTCTAAAGCTCTCCTGTAGAACATCAACTTTTTAACAAGCTCTCCTCTCCATTAAGAGTACTTCCAGTCTATTCCACAATTTTCTGAAACGGCGAGTCAAGAATCTTTATGAGCTGCTAACTGTAAGGCTCTTTAATGTTACCAAGCACATTGATGACGCCTGGAATAGCCCATTCAAGAATTACCTTTAGCCTCTTTCTCAAAGCGAGTCTTGGTGCTTAATATCCTAATTCATATGAAAATGAGATTTCATTCACATGCAAATTAAACTCATTTTCATATGAATGGTTGTGCACCACTGAGGCCTCGCTTTGAAAGAGAGGCCTAGGGGAACTTGAAATTAAATGGGCTATTAGCAGGCCATGTGTATCATAAGATTCTTGAGTGGTTAGAGTGACAACAAAAGGTACAATGTACCAGGATGGCTGTTGGCTCAACTCTTGCGGATGCTGAGGAAGTTTCGTTTCTCGAGTCAATTTAAGCTGAGTCGACTTCTTCACTGACATGTATTTAATTGTTACACCCTTTAAAAAGCATGAACTAAGACTCCGCCACCCACCCACACACACATACATTGTTAACCCACCTTGAAGCTCCTTTATTATGTATGGCTCGCTATCTGGACCACACATTTTTTCTTCATTACACATCTTGATGTAGACAAGGTAACTTTTGGCAGAGTCGAGTCTTTGTAAAACTGCAGTGTTTGTTGTTGCATTTACATGATATTCACAGTTCAGAAGAGAACCCAGCGTATGAAGATAGTGATTGCAGAGAACAACATATTCACCAGGAGTGCCACGCCAGGAAGCATTGTCTGTCAACTGAAGTAAACAGTGGTGAGAAGGTACTTTTAATAACAAACCCCGTTTTGT